CAGTCTCTAAACCATACTTTCATACGAATATTTTTTAAGCAACTTTTATTTGGAGACAAAATGTTAAGTTCGGATCCCACATGGGATGATGATGAGACCTAGGCGAGGTCGAAACTGCAGTCCAGCCTGGATATGAATACCACTTGGAAAACAATTCTATATGAAATTATATATATATATATATCATCCGAGCAAGCTATCATCCTTACAACCAAATTTAAGATTCATAATCAGGAAAACTCACTGGCTCATCCCTAAAATGCTGTATACATACTCTATATCCGAGCTCTTTGAAGAGGTATAAAGTGATTCGGCTACTTCCAGTCATCTATCAACCTCGGAGCATGTCAGTGTGTCTGTCTCTCTATAGCTATATGCCTACTTGAGTTCGTATATGTACGAAACCAGCAGTGATGGTCTAAAGTAATGAGAACAGACAAAGTAACGTCTGCTCTCGACTATTAAGATTTGATGACCACCATCACCCCCTCTTTGTATACATTTAAACCATCACTCCGATTGCGCAAGGTCGGACACCTGTATGGTTCGTTGTCTTCATGTGAGAGAGAAAGAGTGGGCTAAAAATTACAGAGAAGTGATTGTGATTAGATCTAAAACAAAAAAAGAATAGTTAAGACGCCTCGTTATTGCAGAAGGCTCAACAACTTCCAATCCTTGAGTCTATTACTTAAGCACAAGTAGTTTTTGCCTAACTTCTTGCCGGTATGCCTTGCATTCAATATATTCTCTATTCGGTTTATTTCGATGGCCTCTCTAAGTTTAGGTTTAGCCGCACACATAACATAATCAGCAATATGAGATATATTCACCCCATTTTGTTTAAGGTGATGAAGGCCTGGTAGTAGGATTTTACCACAATGATATGAGTAGAGCTCACGTTTCCTATGAATTTTACATAGCCTTACTTTCTACTACCAGTCCTTCATTACTTTAAACGAAATAGGGGGCACACAACTCATGTATCTGATTTAGTGTTTGTCTCTAAACCCTGCTTATAAACGGAAAATGAGTAATGTAGTCTATTGTTATAGCAAAAATAAGTTTGCTTAATCGACAATCCGATTAAATAATGTGATATGGGAAAAGGCCTGGCTTTCCTTTAAATTCACATCTTCCCTAATGACCCAATAGCACTCGTGACAATGTGTCTGAGTGGTTAACGTGTTAAGTTCACATGCTGCACTGTCACGGTTCGACTCCCGCTGGAGGGTGCTGATAGGATCTAAGTGAGGTCGAAACTGGAGTCCACCTCAGCTTAGTTGAGAACAACTTTTTGGAAAGCAAGGCTATGTGAAATTTAAAGGAAACGTCAGCTCTACTCATATCATTGTGGGAAAATTCTACTACCCGCCCCTCATCACCTTAAACGAAATATGATGAATACATCTTATAAAACTGATTTATGAGTAGTCTCTAAACTTTGCTTATATACGAAAAATTAAAGCTTATCACTTGTTACTTTGATATTTCACTCTGGGCTAAGGATAACGCCTCTTAATGAAGAAGCAGGCGAAACATCTGGGAATGTACCAAACCTATGTTCCGATGCTGGAAATCAGCATGAGTACTGTGACAGAGCACGCATGACTAAGTATATTCCACAAGGTCTCCCTGTGGTTCCGACTAAGATATGAAAACGAGTCTCGAAACTCTACTAATACACATAATCAGCAAATTGATAAGTTTGAGACCATCCAATCTCATGTACATTTTTTTTGTTACATTCAGCTCGTTCTGCGTTTTGAACCCAACAGCCTCTGCAGGCGCTTTTGTGCTCAGCCAACCCTTGTCGAATGGGATGACAAGTCTCTTCAACATAAAAGCGGCCACATGAGCACAATATGTTATGGCAATACGTTCTGGATAATGGGTCTTCTTTCTCTCTAAAAGTGTACATGAATGACTGAAGAAAGGGTCGTAGATTCCCTGGAAACTGTATTTTCTCCACTTCATTACTAGCTTGCCTATATCTTCGGATCGACCTTCGAATTTCTTCACCAGACACTTTCACTCGAAATAGAAGTAAGCTCAATAATTTTGAAGCAAGCGATACCTCGAAGCCCAACTTTTCTTCGCATAGTATGTGCATGACACACTCAACAATTAGCCCCTCTTTGGTTCGACTCACATCGAGGTGTTTTCAGTTACCCTGGAGAGGACACAATCGTAAATAAACCACTCTTGGGATAAATGACAAAATGGAGCTATTGTCTCAACTCTTCTACTGCCAGAGCCAATAGCAATCATCAACAAATGTATTTTACATTTAAGCTGCTTCTAATGTAATTTGATTACTTGGCAGATTTATTAGTTTGAGTGTGAACGGGCTGTTTATATTTTAGACACTAACAATTGTTCTACCAACTAAGAATTAAGGAGCTTGTCTTTTTATGAAAACTTCACCACAGAGCTTGAGTCACAGCCTAATACTCATCCTGGTTGGGCTTGGGCAAGAACATCACCTCCAAAAGAAGTAAAGCCTAGCAAATGAGTAACCTTTTTAATAAGGACTGCGTGTTGCGTAGTGATGGCCTGGCCGTTTGATGCTGAAGAGCCGGCTCGAAATATTTTTGGGGTCAGGATCTCAGTTTATCCAGGAAGTGAAAGCCTTTTGCCACTTGTGAAGTTTAATGACAGTTTGAAGTCTTCTACATTCAGTTCCTTATCGGAAGCTCAACCTTCATGTACCTCATCCCCTTAAGCAGCCTAAGGTGACTCGACATCTCTAGAAGATGTACTAATATTCTCGAAGCCTACAAATTAGGTACAGGAAGTTTCGGCCCAGAAAACTGGCAGATCAATGTTTAGTAAATATGACAATGATTTTTCCATATGAAGTAAGTTTCGAAACAACTAGTAAATCTTGAATACGAGTTCCAGTCACCTAACAAAACATAAATAAAATTTCCATTTCTCCATATTGTCATGAGCAGTAATTACATTTCCTACTTCAGCATCGACCTTGCCTCATCCTCAACCCCAACATAACTCGAATCCACGTAGCGTAGGGCACAATTTCGACATGCTACCACCACGCCACAACGCCAGGCGGGTCTCTGGAACTCAGGTCAGGCGCCTTGGTCCCAAAGAATAAGTGAATTTCAGGGGAACCTAGGCCTTTCCCATATTACAATTCTGGGGTGGGATCGTCGACGAAGCAAGATTGTATTTGCCAAAGCAATTAACTAGAACTCAACTATGCGATGTATTCACCCTATTTCGTTTAAAAATGATATGGAACTGATAGTTGATAGCTGATGATGATAGTTGATAGTAGTCCTCATGTTTTCTTTGAATTTCACATGGCAAAAGGGTGTTCTCATCCAGGGTGGACTTCAGGTTCGACCTCGTATAGGCCTCATCAACACCCTCAGCGGGACTCAAATCACGACGGGACAGCATTCAAGCTTGACACGCTAAACCCTACGCCACATTGCCATGAGTGCCCTTGGGTCAAGGAGAAAATGAGAATTTCAAGGAAGGCCAGACATGTTTCCATATCGCATTCCTTGGTGGGATTGTCGGGAAAGCAAAGTTGTATCTGTTGTAGTCTCGAAACCTCCCTTATAAATGCAACTTTTATTTGGGGCTTACTGAGACCTTTTAGATCTACTCCAACTTGTGAAAAAAGACTATCTGGTTCTATCCTACCTCTTATATAGACTCAATTTAGCAAAAAAATTAAAAACCTAGACAGATAAAGAGTGGTTTGGCTAATTATCTTTCTTACTAGTCCTGCTCGAGTGTCTGAGGGTGTGCATGCGTGTGTATGTTTGCGTGTATAAGCAATACTGGTCCTAAATCAGGGTTATCAAAAGGCTAATGTCAGGCTCTGATCATCAAGACCTAATGACCAAAGAGAAAACCCTGACTGAGACTGCGTAAGTCCGTAAGCAAGTATGGTTGAGATAATGAGCTATGAGCTTGTAAGCATGCAAGTCAAGTTACGAAACCACTTGTCCTAACCTCTCAGTCTTGAGTTAGGTGCATGAAGAGCCGGATAGTTGTCTTGCTCTAGTTGTAACGTGAGACTTTTACAGGAATGAGACCCAGCTCTGATGATGTCCATCATTTGATGGACGAAAGGTTAGCCCGTTTTCACCCGAAACGAGGGAAGAGGTCTCGTGGACTGCGTCAACTTGAAAGTCGGCTGCAGTATAACGGAATTCATCCGTCCTCTTCTGGTGAGATCGACATACGGATCTCTTCTTCATGCCTTGTATCTCAGGAGATTCATCGAAACCCAGTTTCTCTTCGTATCTACAATAAAATGCTACTTGAGTCTAGAAGCCTAACAAGCGTTCACACATCACTGCCATTGAAAAGTGTCCAAGGCCAAGAACATGGCACCGACTGGGTCGGCAGGCCTGAGTTGTACTTGCATGTTTCTTTTGTCTTCCAACTCTGTCCCCCTCGCTGGATGGTAGGCCGATTGTTGTCTCCGCCCCAGCGACCCTTGTCAACCCGACAGCCACCTCGTTTCCTCGGGTCTGGGAGACCGGCTCGAGGTACCGGGATTCCAACGGGCCACAGTCACACCCTTCCCAGCCCCATTACGATTACTCAACTCAATGATCCAAGCGTCGTCTCGACATGTTTGGAGTAATGGACACGCAAGTCGACCGGCCCGGCTGCGTCTGCCATTGCCAAGGTCCCAAGTGTCTTCCCACTCGTCGTCGTCGTTGGTCTTATTTACACGAGACGCAGACACAACGACCACCTGAGGCACAATAGTTCACATCTTCCCTCGGGTCGGAACAACCATTACTTACAGTCTGATTACATACGCTTCCCATTAATCAGTCGCATACCCTCGGGCCCCGTTTCACACAGGAGAAGGAGATACGCCCTATCTGCTTTCACCACATCGCCCCGGCCTCCGACTCGTAATAGCAGTCCACTTCCTCGCCCACAAGCCAAGGCCTTTACCAATTTGTCCCCTCTACCCCCTCCGCACTCTGTCCATTTTGGCT